GATATCACATTCCAACCCATTCTATCCTTGGCTGACCACAGACTTCCTCTTTGTCACCCACCAAGAATCAGGTAAAATGAGCTGCTTCCATCAAAGGCTGTGGCTTCAGGCCTGGCAGTTTCCTACTCAGGCCTCCAGGGCTATCCCATTTTCTCTCCACTAATGCATTCTAGTACTCATGGAAGGCTCCAGTATACAAAACAGCTATTCATGGAGGCCCCCAACAAAGATATTTCTAACCTTCAATGTAGAGTAGGTCAGTATAGATGTGTACAGTGGCCCCTTAAGATCAGGAACAGTAAGCCTGAGCAGAGGGTAGGTGTAGTCTGGGTATAGTCTAGTCATAGCATAGCTAAATAAAGATTGGTCAACTAAAGGCAGAGGGTCTGCACTGGGTACACAGACTAGCAGAGAGTTAGGCTCAGTTGGCCCAGTCCCCTGACTGATGACCAGCTCATTCCACTTATCTGCTCTTAACTCAAGGTTTTACTGCCTTAAGCTACCTTTTTAAATACTTAGTGGAAATAAATCAGGTATCTTTGTTTGTGTGTGTGTTGGTTGGTTTTTCATGGCCAGGAACCTCTGCCTTCTGACCAAAATGACATTGATTTCCTAGCCTTCTGCCTTACCAGTTCATCTCATCATTAACTGGTCCTCTCTATCTCTTTTCTCTAGCTTATACATCCTGCTGTCTGTGAAGAAGGGCCCGCTGGGTTGTTTATGAATCTATACCCTGTATTTCTTTTTTAAAGATCTTATATTTTTCTCTTAAACTAAGTGTAGATATTTGACTGAAGTATGCGGAAGGGTTGAGTAAGATGTACTTAGAGAAGCTACATAATGCAGAGTAAAACTGGAAACCTGGGGGCATGGCTATTGAAGGGAGAAATCTCTCCCCATCTTCCCTTGTGGGAAAGTATTAAAAATGGGACTCAAGGTCTGTGTGACACTATATGAAAGGCCATTTCATATACACGTACACCTCTGTAAGCAACCGACGTTGAAGAGGGCAGTGCAAAGAGGCTTAGGAGTAAGCGGTCTCTCATACATAAGGTTGAGTTGAGACAGAACTTACTTTATATAACTTTTAGGGTTTCTTGTTCCTTCTAGTAGGTGGATGGTATTCTTCCTCAAGAGAAGCTGATTAAGTTGGATTCTTTCTATTCCTGGCTTCAGACCTAATCATGACCATTAAAAATATATATCTTTTCCTTTGTCCAAAAATCCCACTCTAGTCTTGCATTGTAATTGCTGGTGTGTAGTTAGGGGTATGTTGTATGTTTTCAACAAGCCGTATTTTAGGGAAATAGCAAAAATAGCATATGTACTTTCAATTAAATTTGTATTGTTTTTGAACATATTGACAGCAAATGTTTGTTATTTGTCAGCAGTGGGCTATATGCTATATAAAATGGAATGAGGCATTGGTTTCACATCTAAGCAAGCAAGATATAAATCAGCAAAGGATAACTAATGACAATGATGGGGTAACATTCGCCACAGGCCAGGTACTGTGCTAAGGACTTTCTATGCATATCCAGCTGTGAATCCTCAGAACCATGTGAGCTAAGTATTTTTATACCCAGAGAGATTATGAAACTTGCCCCATATCACACAGCCAGTAAATGGTAGAACGCACAATCTAAGTTCAGGTCTGATTCCAAAGCCCTTGTGCAAACTGCTCTTACACAAATTTAGTACTGAGCATCAGAAGCCTCAGTCTTTCCCATGGAGCAAAGCAGCAGGAAAACCCCCTGAAGTGTCTGTTAGAATTCACTTTTAGAAACCAGATCATGGTAAGACTCTGTTCATAATTTGTAATAGTATTTCCTATGTTATTTTAAGAGTAGAGTTTTCAAGTCTCCTGATTGCCTCAGAAGAAAATATACCTATAGTCTTCTGCCCAAGTTGTGATGAGTGTAATCATTGTTTTGGGAAATGTGTTCATTCTATCCTTTTTGCTGAAAATAGATTTAGAAAGCCACAGCAACTCATAAGATGGCATGATTAGCAAAGCCCTGAGTTTGGTTGCTATGTGTCCCTTTGGATTTGGCTTTAAGACTCATAATTAAAAGGGGGAGGATTATTAGCAAAATCAGTTAGGAGCTTGTTCTTTTGCCATTGGGGAGTGAAAATATGTTCTTCCCCATCTACTGTTTCACCAGAAGCAGAAATTATGCTGGGTATCTTTTGAAGTACATCTGTAGTTCAGTGTTATGTTCTGTAGGGTATCATTTCATTAGTTCTGTACAATAAAACCATCATCTCAGTACAAGTTTCCATTACAGAACCAGTGAATTGAGAAAAAGTGGTCTACATATTTTAGTCAATGCCTCATCATTGAATTTGTAAGTTTCTAGAGACATACAGTACCTTTATATCTTGATTTCCCCCATGTATATGGTGACATGCTTTGCAGGTAGGTATTAAGTAAGAAATTTTTTCTCATTACTATTAATTATGACATTGGAGTCCCAGTCATTTTCACCAAGCCATCATTTAAGAAGAATCACAAAAATATTAGAGCTGACATATTTAGATCTCTCAGAAGTTCCACATTTTTTTTTTTGCTAAGACAAATATATTATTCAGTTCATTGGTAGGTAAAGCATATAGTGTTTTTCAGAGCAATGTCAGTATCATATTGGCCTTGATTTAAATAATGACTATATTTTTCTTACTAAGATTTTTACACAAATTCTTTGCAGTTAAATCAAACTTAGGAAAGACTAAAGTAGGTACAAATGATCAGGTACCAAAGTGTATCCTGATATAGAAAATTGTGATTTAGTGTTCTATTGTTAGAACCAACATATGTCTGGAGCCTATGACATATACTAATTTATTAACCTGTATATCCTCATTCTGAAGGAAATAATAACAACAGCAGTTGCTTCTATTTATTGAATATTTACTATGTGCCAGATACTTTAAGTACCTTACATTGATTATCTCATTTAATTCTCATAAAACTTTCATAAGATAGATATTATTTAACCTATAAACAAATGAAGCTCATAGGTACACAGAGAAATGGCCGGGCATGGTGGCTCATGCCTGTAAGCTCAGCACTCTGGGAGGCCAAGGCAGGTAGATCACTTGAGGTCAGGAGTTTAAGACCAGCCTGGCCAACATGATGAAACCCCATGTCTACTAAAAATACAAAATTAGCCAGGTATGGTGGCATAGGCCTGTAGTCCCAGCTACTTGGGAGGCTGAGGCAGGAGAACCCAGGAGGTGGAGGTTGCAGTGAGCCAAGATTGCGCCATTACACTCCAGCCTGGGCAACAGAGTGAGACCCTGTCTCAGAGAGAGAGTGTGGAGAGAGAGAGAGAAATGAACACAAGTACTTATTTATACTCATATAGTGGAATAGTGTTTCAAGGAGGCTACTTGACCGTTTCCAGCCATTTTAATTGAAGACATAGGTGATTCTCACTGGTCGATGGAAAGTAGCAATACAAAAGAATTATGAGAGATAAGATTAGCAAATACTGAGTGGAATCCTGCAATATCTGATTACTACTGTAGAGTGACTGGAGGCTCACAAGCCCAGTGGGCACACAGACCTTAAAAGGTTGTCTTTGCTATTCAAGTACTTCATTTCATTACCTGACCTTGCTGTTTTGCTCCCTCTCAGCCCTCAATTAAGCTGCCATTGATACAGGATTTATAATGTGTCACTGGTCCATTCAGGATACAGTGACAGAGGTGTGACTGAAAAGCTGGATAATAAAGAATGGAGGTGATTTCCATTTCTGTTCAAATCAGGTGGCAACAACCGTAGCTGACCTTTGGTTCAGCACAGTCCAGCTAGGCAAATATTCCAAGCACTGAACTGTGTACTAAATGCCCAGTACCCTTTTCAGAAGGGACATCGCCTCTGAGTGACCAAGATGCTCATAGTTTCTTCCCATGATGAGAACATCTAAACCTTGGGAAATGATTGTGGTATTCATTATGTTACAATTTTCCAGAAAAGAATCTGTATTTATTTTTCCTCTAGGCTTCTAAACAATAAGGTAGATTTTACAAATGAGAATTTTTTAGGAATAGTTTCTTGACTATACCAAATTTGAAAATATTGTGTGGCATTGGATCACATTAATTAGGTAATTTTAAAGTCCTTTCCAGGAATTTTAAATGTTATGACCTCTTTTTTTGTATAGATAGGATTATGTTAATATGTCTTAAATACATAGTGAGACTTTGAACTTCTTTTGTTAGAATTCAGCTATTTAAAAGAGGAGTGTTATTTATTTAGAGTCAAACTCATTCCTATTTCACAAATTTGGAAATAAAACCCTGACTTTCTTTTTCTTTTTCTTTTTTTTTTTTTTTGAGACAGAGTTTTGCTCTTGTTGCCCAGACTGGAATGCAATGGTGAGATCCTGTCTTACTGCAACCTCCACTTCCTGGGTTCAAGCGATTTTCCTGCCTCAGCCTTTCAAGTAGCTGGGATTACAGGCATGCACCACCACACTTAGCTAATTTTGTAGTTTTCGTAGAGATGAGGTTTCTCCATGTTGGTCAGGCTGGTCTCGAACTCCCAACCTCAGGTGATCTGCCCGCCTCAGCCTCCCTAAGTGCTAGGATTACAGGCATGAGCCACTGTGCCTGGCAGATATAATTTTAAAAATTAAAGTCTGATAAAATGTGTACATGTGAATTTAATTGTGGTTAGCTGTCTATTATTTAACTGATATGATAACACGCCTCAGTCCCAACTTACACAGCATTTAGAATGAATTGATAGAGGCTTTACTCTGAAACAAGTCATTCTATTTCCTCAGTTTTCTGGGTTTTGAATAATTCTAGGCCTTGCCAGATATTCTGGCCTAAAGATAAAGCTGGTGAAAGTCAGGGCTGGGGTTTTCCTACCTCTGTATTTATCAGTCTTCTCCTAAACCACAGTCTACCTTTTGATAGTTCTAATAATTAATTTGATCTTTTCTGTCTTTATTCTCCCTTGCCCCTCCCTTCTCCCTGTCTGTTCACAGGTTATCTTGACGAATCAGATTACAACCCATCTGAGTGGAGCCCTGGCTTCTCAGGCAGACCTGGTGTCTCCAGCTGATGATTTGTCCCTGTCTGAAGGTAAGGAATCCGTCCTAGAGAGGCTGAAACTTGACACTGACATACAGCCCCACTGCTTCTCCACCTCCTGTTGAGAGCTGGGAGATATGGCTAATAGGCCCTGGCCAGTGAACCCAGCCAGAGCCTGTTGATTTAGGTTTGGCCACCTTTCCTGGCATCTGATCTTATACTTGGGGAGTCTCTTGCCCTGCCTCTATGAGTGACATCCAGTTGGAGGCTAGTCACTCCTGTGTGGGCTATTTCAGGTCCTTAGAATAAGGGCTGATTAATTGTTAAATGATTTTGTTTTTGAGACTGATGCTCAAAGGTTGACTTTACCAGTGATCCCATAGCAATTTAGCCTTTTCTTTGTGCTGAGCTCCTTTGGACTAAAAAGTGTACATCAGTTTCATGTGCCAGAGATATGACATTCCTAATCAGCTTGACAGAAGATTAAGAAAAAAATCTCCACGTTGGTAAATCTGCAAAATTTTCTCCACCCCCTGCTAGCAAAGGTCAGGCTGGCTATGATTTCAATGGCAATAAGATTTACGTAGCTGGGGAAATAACATCAGTAAACCAGAGGGTGGTTTCTAGTTTTATTAAAAGTGCTTACTTGACATTTTTGAGTTGTTCTCCTTATACTCTAGTATCTTTCATGCAGAATTCTGCAGGCCGGGTAGATGTGCATAGCTCTTCCAGACCCCTCCTCCCTTTCCACTTTCTGAGAATCGTTCCTGATGGAATACAGGAGACTTTTAGGCCTAGCAAGGCTCCTGACTGACTGCCTAGGTGGTCTTCTGCCCATCAACTTTGCTTGATGGTCTTAGAAATTGCAAGAACCACACCTCTGCTTCTTAGTGGTGGCTTTAGGAGTGAAAACGAATGGCTTATTCATGAAAACTATAGGATTTGTTGTGTACCCTCCTTCTACATAAAGATGCTTCATCATAACCCCCATCAACGGGGCCGAAAACCTGAATCAAGTATTCCTCCCTCCTGAAACTTTTCTCATCAAATCTGCTTAGTACTTCTTTCCACGTATCTTTCCTTGGTCCCCTCTTTTTTGTAATGTGTGTTGTGATCAGCTGGTTTACTAAACTCCCAATTGGATTATTTTAATAACATCCAGATTGACCTTCCCAATGTAGCCTCTACCATTTCCATTCTGCCACTACCAAATTGAACTTCCCCATCTGGCGTCATTCTACTATGATGCTCTCCTACTCAGAAATCTTAGAATTTTTTTTTTTCCCTGAGAATGAGCTAAAATCAGTAAGCTGTTTTTAAAATATTTAGGGATTTGGGGTTTGTTAGCTTGAAATCAGCCATGGTAAAAGTATTTATACCATGGAAATCAGCAAATGCTAAAAATCAGGTGTTTTTGTTTTGTTTTGTTTTGTTTTTTTTTCTCCTTTGGTTGGACTGGCTTCCAAAACACCACTGGATAATGTTAATGCTTTTAACCCTTCATAATCTGTCATTTCCTTTCTATTCAAATTTGGTTTCTGCCAATATCTTAGGTGAAGCTCCTATGCCAAGCGTGCTGCTCTTTGCCTGCTCCTCCCCACTCCCAGGTCCATGCCTGTGCATAGACAGCTCTCCCTCTCCAGAACAGCACTTCCCTTTTTCACTTCCACTGCCTCTTCTCATCCCACATCCACTCCTTTGAGGCTTATTTAAAGACTGCCTCTTTCACGGAACCTCCTTGCCTGTGGTCTCACTCTCTGTTTTTCCTCTGTGGCCGCTCTATCTGCTCAACTATATGAAGAAAAGAAAATTAGTTTAACTTTTCATGTTTTTCTGCCTAATTGGCAGATTTTAAAGATACAACCACGTCATATTCTTTTGTATCCATGTTGTTATCCAGTGACTAGCAAAATTCTAAGCACATACTAGGCAGTAAATAAATGCCAAATGAGTATCACAGAAAATACTTCAGAAGAACAGTGATCATGAGGATCACATAAAGCAACTATGAACATTGTTAAAAAGTGTTATAATTATTACACACACACACACACACACACACACACACACACAAACACACAAACATACATGCACATATTTATTCAGCTCTGAGGAGGAGACCAGAATAAACTTCTTCCTTATTTGAAAACCAGTAAGTACTTTTCTTTGTGTTGCCTTCCTGGTTTATCTTAAGCAAAGAAGAAGAGCAAATCACATAGAAAAGAAATGACTTTAAGGCTGCAGTGTAACTGCCACAAGAAACTCCTGATATTGTGTTGACAGCAAAGGAAGAGTTACTAGCTTATCCTCCCAGAAATCCAAGGAGGAATGGAAACAATTGGTTTTTCTAGATTTTTTTTCTTTGTACAGCTGAGCAGATAAAGAGGCTATGGAAATATATTCCTAAAGTCTATAATGAAGGTTTTTATTAGTGGATTAAAATGGACAATGTCTTAGAACATTTATACCCATTCAAATATATTATAATGGCTGTTAAGTTCCTATGATTTACACACACACACACACACACACACACACACACACACACAAATTGCTCTGTTTTGTTTCAAGCATTCGTTGTATCAGCTTTGCCAATGAGTTATTAACTGCGGTGTTGGGCAGGCCTTTTGATTACTTGGGTCTCAGTTTCTTCTTCTGTTACATGACAGGTTGGATGAATAGAAGACTGCTAAAGTTTTTTCCAGCTCTAACATATAAGATCATGAGGTAGGTCTGAAGGTCAGGAGCATTCACCCACTGATGGGGTTTTAATTCTGATTTACAGAGTAGGAAGATTGGCTGTGTTGCTGATGTTGCCCTAGATTAACTCAATCAAAAGGATCTTTCTGAAATCTTAGCGCTGATACTTTGGCATACCTTGCAGCAGCCTTCCCTCCACGTGTGTTTTCTTTTTCACTCTGTGTACACTTCTGGTCTTACTTGTCTGTCCCTTGTTCTGTCTGCCTCTCTCCACACAAAGGTATACAAAATCAGAAGTGTGTGCAAACCAGTGAGAATGAGAAACACACTGGGTTGGGGTTACTTTGTAACTCTGGTCAATTTGCATAAGTCCCGAAAGTTCTGTTCTCCCAGTAACTTGTGAATGGAATAGTTTGTGAAAGGCAGGCTGCACACTGACAAGCACACTGCACATGTGAGGAAATATTTTAAGTAAACAGAAAATTCAGTGTGTCCTCTCATTCCTTCTCAAGGCACAAAGCTCAGGGCAGGAGCAGTGCCAGGAAAGTCCTTGGCCTTTGGGGTGTAATTCTCCCTTCTTCGACTCTCCCACCTGGGAGCTGGATAACTCAACAGTGGAATGAAACCTCGCTGAAGGGAATTATACCATGATGTCAAGCAGTGAACATGAGTCTACTTAATCCAAGCCAACAACTCAGCCACACATTTAATAAGGGTGGGGGCGGGGAGACCCAGCAACACAAAAACAAAGAACTCTCAACTTTACGAACACTGGGAGGGCAACAGCTGGTCAGCCGAGATTAAAGGAGCGTGAGAGAGCACCTCCCATCTCCTGACTTCTCCTCCCCCATAGACGTCCCTGCAGCCAGCCAGGGCTCGCTTTTTACAGCCCTGTGCAGATGACCTTGTTCCAGCTAAGATAGGAGCTCTTTTGATCTCAGCAGGGGGATGCTCTGGGCCTGCAGCTGGCAGATATTAATAGTACAGGATCTGTTGGGGTGGAAGAGATCTCTCAGTTGGGCCAGGTCACTTGTATTCCCTCCTCTGCATCAGAGCAGAAGGAACTTCATTTCCCTGGATCAGCCCCTGCTGGGTACTACTCCTCTTAGGTCAACTCAGATCATTTTATCACTGGCGCTCTTGGCTGCTTGTTCTCACCCCACAACTGTTTTCAAGGGAGCACTGTTTAAGCAGTGCACTGTGCACTGCAGCTGAAATCTATTACAGGACAAGACAGACCTCGGGCCCACCCCATCCCAGTGTGTTTCTCGTGCTCACTGGTTTGCACACACTTCTGATTTTGTATACCTTTGTGTGGAGAGAGGCAGAGTGAGCAAGAGGCAAGACGTGAAGTATATACAGAGTGAGAAAGAGGCAGCAGTACAGGAAGGGGAGATTGTTGCAGGTATGCCAAAGTACCAATGCAAAGATTTCTGCAGGTCCTTTTTATTGTGTTTAATCTAGGATAACATCAGCAACACACTCATTCGTCCCACTCTATCAATCAGAATTAACCCCTATCATTGGGTGAATGTTCCTGATCTTCAGACACACCTTAAGATCTTAATTGTTAGAGCTGGAAAAGACTGTAGCAATCTTCTAGTCATCCACTCTGTTATTTAACAGAAGAGATGGGGGTAGAAATAAGGACTTTTTTGGTTGTATATTCTATATTGTTCTAGACTAGGCACTTTGAATCACAGTATTTTCTTCTTCACATTTCATTTTGTTGACAGAAATTCAGACATATAGTTTATTGTAGAGTTCTGTGCCTAGTTATTGACACTGTTCTGTGGCCAAGAACATGTTTCTTAGTCCTTGCCAACTCTTCCTTGTGGTCATTGGAGATACTAAGGATTGTTGGACCTCAGTCATGGGGAATATCTCTTTTCCCCATAGTGATTAATAGAGAAGGGATCTAACAGTCCAAATGGCCTAAGATGCCATATCCTATTCTGAAGTCACCTGGGATTTGAGCAGAACTGACTGAGTGCCCACCTACCATGGCACAGTTGGTAGGTAAGATTTGACGGATGATAACAGTGAGCCCTGTGCAAGACTGAAGCCGTAGACCATTGGCTTGCTTTCTTCTGATGATTGAACAGAGTAGCAGTTACTTCACTATGGTGACGTGGCCCACTTCAGGAGTTCCACATGGCTTTATGGAAAATAAGACATTATTAGGCTACCATCTTGGTGCATCTGGCATGTTGTATCCTTTTAACTGCCATTACTTGTTTTTGATAGATCATAGTACATAAACACTAAAAATGTAAAATGTGTGGATAGGAGATCATAGCACATGAAAACTAAAAATGTAAAGTGTGTGGATAGGTCAAGGAAAGAACACA